ATCCTCTCCTAGTTTTGTTGTGCTTTGTTTTTCTAGTTGTTATTTGTGTTAGCTCAATGGCAGTCACACCTCTCACAGGGAACTGGGGCCAGTAGGCAGCACACCTTAAATCTTTTTCCATCCCTGCCCCCTCCCCCACCTCCCACTCTGGGTCTGCTTCCCATTTGGAAAAGATCTGTGTCCCCGTTTCCTATGGTCCATCTTTTCCTTTGCTCTTCATTTATACTCTTGGTTCTCATGTAAGATACCATGAAGGTTTTTCTTGTTTTTTGTTTTATATTTTTGTGGTACCAGGAATCGAACTCAGTACCTTGTGCTTGACGCTGAGTTATGTTCCCAGCCCAGAGACCAATCATTATTGAAGCTGTGTGTCTGACTGAGCTCACATAAAGTACTTTTAAACATTTGCCCGAGTGCAGGAAGGACCTGAATGTGGGCAGCTCTTGCAGCTCTTCATGTCTTAATGAGGAGCAGCCCTCCCACCTAGCCTGGTGCCAGCTGATTTGTCCCCTGTGTCCCCTCATGCCCTGTTGTCTCTGCAAGGGCAGCAACCCCCCACCGTGGAACCATCTTGATGGAGCAGCCTGAATTCTTTGTCTCCAGCGCAGCGTCTGACCTTTTACACCTCCCAAGTCGAAGTCATTTTTCTCTGACTCAGCCAAGATTTAGACAGAAAGCAGTTCTTTCTCCAGGTGGCCTTCCCTAAGCATGTGTGGGAGTGGGAGCAGGGGGGTCCCAGCAATGCTGCTCCCATCCTACCTTGGTGGCATTGGCTTCAGCAGGGATGCAGGGCCTGGCCTGGCCACCAGGGCCTCAACTGTGACAACTGCAGGTAACAGGAAGTAAAACTCCTTGCCCACTATGGGTGCCAGTGTCCAGTGTGGCAGGGGTGCCCAGCCAGAATGGTATGCTGGTGCCCATGGGAGTGGGCTCCCATACCAGGTGAGTGTCATACCAGGTAGAGGCCAAAGCCTGTGGAAGTCGGTGCCCTGGAGCTTGGCCCTGGCCCAGACCTCTCAAAGGCCCCCCAACTGCTGTTCTTTCACAGTAACACCTGAGGGGCTTGCGGGTTAGCTCCATTGTCTGAAGTACCTGCTTGGGCAAACTCAGTCAGACACAGGGGACAGAAGTTCGATCCCCAGCTCCACAAGCTTCACCAGATGTGCCTTTAAGACAGCCTGAGCTAATAAAAAAAGAAAGAAAGAAAAGAAAAGAAGAAGAAAAAAGAAAAAGAAACTTCACAATAACACCTGAGTAGTTGAGAGTTCAGGCTGTGGAGTCAGACAGCATTGGGTTCAAATCCTACCCTTGCTCTTCTCAGTGTAGGAGCTCAGACAAGCGGCCAAACTCCACACAGTGTATTCAGCCTCGCTGTGCTCCAGGAGGCTGAGGCAGGATTTCAAGTTCAAACCCAGCCTGAGCAAGTGAGCAACTTAGCGCAACCCTGTCTCAAAACCCCAAAAAGGACTAGAGATGCAGCTCAGTAGGAAAGGCCTAGGTTCCCTTCCTAGTACTTCAAGGAAGGGTAGGGGCTCCAGGAGCACCCGTGCCAGAGTGGCTCTGCTGATTCAGTGAGATGAGGACCTTAGTCTTCTGCCCTGGGGACAGAGATGAACCTGGATGGGGGAGCTGACAGGACAACCACCTGGAAAGGCGAAGCATGGAAAAGAAACCTTCCCCAGCCACCATAAAGGGGGAGAATTCAGAGGAGCAGGGCAAGCACAGGAGGAAGCGGCTTCGAGCCCATTTCCGGGAGGGGTCTCATGGCCCCAGGGCTTCGCTCTCTTGACTGAATTTGGGTCCTGAGCAGAAGAAAACCGTACTGAGTGAAAGCAGCTCTGGGCTTCTCACCTCCAGTCTAAATACATGAAAAGAAGCCTTTGAGGAGCACCGGTTTCATAACTTGCATCAGTAGGGAGCTGGGTTGTTCAAAAGATCTCAACTCATTGGGACAACGAGGCTGTCATCCGGGAAGAATTAGGACCGGATCCTACCTTGTTCCTCACACCAAAATGAATTCCAGATGGATCAGAAACCTAAAACTGAAACCATAAAAGCATTAGGAAAAATGGAATACAGCTGCTCTCTGCATCCATAGATTCGACCAATGGTGGATCGAAAGCGTTAGGGAAAAACAGCCCTGTGTATTGTGAATCTGGACAGACACTTTGTCATCATCCTGCAATAGGGCAGCTCAGTCCTCGAGTGCTGCAGCAGTGGGTGCACCCAACATGCAGCCGGAGGGCCGCTTGCCCTTTCCTCTAAATGTTATGACAACAAATACGAAAAATAAAGGAACTGTTGTGACATAGGTACATTAGCTATGTTTTATAAGCAGCCCAAGAAAATCCCCCTTCATTCGAGGTGCCCCAGGCAAGGGGTCTGTACTGTGACAACTGGAGGTAACAGGAAGCAAAACTCCTCAGCCAGGAGAAGATGGGCTATAGGAAACGGGGACACAGATCTTTTCCAAATGGGAAGCAGACCCAGGGTGGGAGGTGGGGGAGGGGGTGGGGACAGAAAAAGATTTAAGGTGTGCAGCCTACCCGCCCCAGTTCCCTGTGAGAGGTAGGACCGCCATGTACCAACCATGAGAAGGTTGGGCACATCTCAAAGGTGTGTGTTACTTGTATGCTAACGCTTTGCCAATTGATGTAAAAGACTCAGGCATCTGAGCATGTGGCCTCCACAGAGGATATCAAGGGATGATCCCAAATGGAGAGAGGCAGGCATGGGCATACTTTCTCCAGGGTCTATACGCTTCCATCCAGAAGCTACAGAAGACAGCAGCTGCCTCTGGAGAGAGAAGGGAGACAGGGTTAGAAGCTGCTTATGTTTATGTTTGATTACATTAGCATGCACATATATTATCTGGTTTTTAAAAATCATATTTTTATAGCCCTTCTACATAGGTGGATCAGCTATGGCCTCCCCCAGGGTAAGCCCAGTGCCCACAATCAAAAACCAAATGACTCAGATCCAGAAGCAGGGCAGCCCAGGGATCTGCGCCAAGCTTGTGGAGGGCTCTGAGGAATTTGGGCCTTAGAAAAGGGCTTCAGGGACCCGCACCAGTACAGATGGACTGGTGAGGGGCAGGGGCCGGGGCCAGCGGGGGCCGGGAGCCAGTAACTTCCAGGATAAGGGTGTCTTAGTTACTTTCTCTGAGACACAGCACCAACACCCACAACTGAAAAGAGAGGCTTATTGGGGCTCACGTTTCAGTCCATAGGCTGCTGCTTCAGGGCAGGAAGGCAGGGCAGAGGGGCCCAACAGAGAAGAGCTGCTCTTGCCACTGAGAACAGGAAGCAGAGTCAAAGGAGGAGCCAGAGAGGGAACTGCACCCAGCCGGGCCACAGCCCCAGGGACCACCTCTCACCTCTTCCAGCCAGCGCCCAGGTCCTCACTCCATGCTGAAGTGCCCAGTGGAGGAGTCCACCGTGAGTCTGCGAGTACAACACCCCATGATTCAACTACTCCCCAAAGCCCTGCCTCTAGACCCTGAAAATCTGGGCATCATAAGAGATCTGAGCCCTTACAAAGACTTGTGGAAGGTATTCAAGGTCTTCCTCACTGCAAGAGGCCGGGCTGCTAGATTGGGGAAGCCTTAGGCCAGGGAAGGGGTATGGAGACCCCAGCCTGCCCTCCTGGCCAGGGCAAGTACTTCCTCTTCCTGTCCACTCCCAAACCTACCTCCCCAGACATGTGGTCACCCCGGGTGCAGACATCTGTGCTCGGCCTGCAGCCGCTTCCCCATGTCTGGTTCCCTCGCCTCTCACTGAAGTGTTCCTGTTGGAAACACTCAACCCTTTTTTGGCAAAGGGAAGGAGAAAGGAATGTTTCCAGAACCCAGTCGAAGATGTTGGCTCAGCTGGACAGGAGGGGAGGGGAGAGGAGTGTGGACCTGGAGTGCTGGGAGCTGCCGTGACTGGGGGTGGTGAAGGCAGAATAGGGGACCCAGCAAGGGAGAATGGTTCTCGGGGTTTCTGGCCGTGTGTCCTTTACTATAACAGAAAGATTCACTGTATATACTGATCAAACCTCATGCAACCTAAATGCTGGAATGTGCCTGTGGACTGAGCTGGGGCAGTGAAGTGGCCTTCGGTGGCCCTGCCGACCCCTGCTGCCCCCACCCCCAGCCTCCCACAGGAACCATGGAGAGAAGAAGTTCTGTTCCACTGTGGCAGATGAGGCCCAGTAACCTGAGATGCGGATTCCAGAGTCCGCATGGATCCCGACTAGGGGTTCCTGGGGTCTTCAGCCCAGTCCAGCCTCGGTCCAGCCTCAGACCTGCGGCTCATCCCGCATGGTCTCTGCCTTCTCCACGTCTCCTCTCCCCCACTGCTCCCTGACTTCCTGCCAAGCCTTTTTCCCCTGGCTCCAAACTTTTGTCGGGAAAGAGATGAAATCAGCACTTGCAGAGCTGGAAGGGGAAAAACAGCTGCCTCGAACAAAATTCAAGGGTGGATGGATGTGAAACAGCTGGATCACTGTGGGAACGCTGGAGCCCTGCTGGGGCGCAGCTGGGGGGAGGGGGTACTCGGAGACCGGGCGCAGTGTGTAACCCGGTGAACCACGCTCAGACTACGGGTTCACTTTACAGATGTGGGCTGAGAAATACTTCTCTTACCCCTTATTTGTGTCTGGGACACCGTAGAGCAGGATGGACCCTACGTTATCAGCTGCCAGCAACACAGCCTGGGTTGGCAGACCCTGCGGGCCCCCACCAGTGGCAGCCTTATGCACATCTAGGTCTTTGATGACAAACATGATTTTTTTTTTTCTAGAAGAGCTACAGATCTGGATTTTCATGTAACACTCGTGATTTCAGTGTTGGCAGAGGACCCAAGCTTTGGTGCATGTAGCAGTTAGCACGGCATGGCCTGAGCAAAACATGTGTAGGTAACCTCGGAGCTGGGGGCAGCATTCAAGGCCTCTAAATGACAAGTGAGCATGGGGGGTGTGCCCCAGCCTGCTCTGGGGCTGTCTCCACACTGTCCCTTCGGCCCTTCTCCCTTCTGTGTACACTGACCCTGTCTACTTTGAGGCCCTTTATTTTGGCAAGGTGCACTGGGTTTTGGGAGGTCAGTGTCCCCAGTGCCTGATTCTCCCCAGACCTGCAGTCCCTGGCCTTGCGTCAGGCAACTCTGAAGTGTCCCCGATCTTGGGCTCAAAGGCAAGCCACTCTCCGGGGACATGCCTGAGATCTACTTCTCTCTCCTTCCTCACTGCCTGGCCTGCTTCATTCACTAATCCCAGCCTCCCCGGGAGCATGTCAGTCATAAATCACAGACTCAAGAGTCCTCCTTCCCAGATCTGTTCTGGAAAATCACCCTTGGAAACAGCCAAGGCCAGGGGCAGCTTCTCGCACAGCAGAGAAAGCAGGGAGAGGGTGCTGTCGGGGAGAGCTCAGGATCCCAGGTCCCTCCTGCAGTCCCTGCTCTGCCCTCCTCCCCCTTCCACTGCACCCTCCCTGTGGACCTGGGCGGCTTCTCCTACTCCTCCTAGCTACAAAGCAGGCCTGAAGGTCCCTCTGATGCTTCCCAGTTCAGAGTCCTTGGTGGCATAAGCCAGACTCAGGTAGCCCAGCCCCACTGCCACACAGCTGAAGTAAAGAACCCAGGGGAAGACACTTAATAGAATCCCCATGGCATTCCACAGGATGGGCCAGAGACAGCCAGCCATCCTGGGAATACAGATGCAATCTGGAGCCCATGAAGGCTTGGAACCTGGGGGAAGCCAGCTGAAAACAAAGTGGATTTCGGAAGAGGGCAGGTGAGGGCATTGAAGGCAAAGTCCAAGTCAGGTTTCTATTGCTTGCAACCAAGTGTCCTGATGTGTGCAAGGGTTCTTGGAAACAGGGTACAGTTTCCGGAAGCTCACAGAACTCCCAAGACTTGGAGGAGGCACAGAGGGACACTCTGGCCCCATGTGGATCATGACATAGTACTGAGGCCAGATGAGAACTGGGTGCTTCAATGAGAGGGTGCCTGTCACCAACATGGACATCAGCCAGCCAGCCACCCAACAGTGGCCATGGGCCACTGTGCATAATGCATGCAGGTACAGGCTCTACATCATCTGCCCTCAACAGCCTTACAGTCACATTAGAGACCAAGCCGGCAGCATAGGATGCATGCATAGGCTTGGCATCAGGGTCCAGTGGACCCGGGTCTGAGACCTCCCTCTACCATTGATAAACTGTGCCCCAACCCCCCTGTGCTGAAGTTGTCTTATAAGTAAAATGGAGATAACTGACCTCCTAAGAATGTGTTGACTTTTTTGAAAATGTATTTTTATAACTAATCTGTCTTTTGAAAAACTGATTTGCAAAAAACTCAAAATCCTTAGACATTTTACAGATCCTTAGATGTGTTAACTTTTAATCAACCACTGAGGTCAACCAATGGAGCCTGATATGCACCTGAATTTAAAACGTCAATTACTACCTTAAAATTCTCATTGTTGAAGGCAGGTGTGGAAAGTGAAAGAGATGAGACTGAGCGGAGTGAGGGACAGGCACCGGGAGGGTCTCCAGGAGAGCTTAGGAAGAGATGGGCTTGAGCTTGCTTGGGAAGGAGGATCAGGTCGGAGGCACTGTCACTGTTACAGAGGTTCCCATTACCAGCCCTGACTCACTTCTTCCTGGCCAGAAGAAGTCAGAGGGACAAGGACCAGAGAGATGGCTTGGCTCCCACTCTTGAATATGTGGTGGGGAGAGGCAGGAACAGGCACGCAGGAGGGTGTCTGCATGACTCGCATCTCTGTTATTTCCTCCATGAGTTTGGTTTTTACCTGGACACCCCCCAAAGGCTCACATGTGCAGAGTCAGGGCTTCAGGGAAGGTGACTCTGGGTTTATAGCTGGCCTGCTGTTAAGAGGGTGCCTGGTAGGAAGAGCTGGATCGCCCTGGGGGGGGCGTGGCTGGAAGGGTCTGGCTCCTCCCTCCTCTGTCTGCTTCCCTGCCACCCTGAGGGAGCAGCTCTCCTCCTCCATGCCCCTGTGCCACCCTTTCCTGCCTTGGAGCCAACTAGCCAGAAGTAGTCAGGGAGGATGGCAGGTGATCCGAACCTCTGTCCCTTGAAGCTACTGGAGCAACACCTCCAACCCAAGGTCCCCAGGTCTCCTTACCTCTGCTGTTCTACTGCAGAGGATGACAGCACCCTAACAGAAAGACACAGGGGGGCTTAGGTGGCACCAAGAGGCTGTGCTCAGTGCACAAAGAAGCTTGCACAAGCTTGAGAGCATCAGCAGGGACGTGCTTCATGACACTGGAAATCTCACCAAAAGCCTCTACAGGTGAGCGGATGTGTCTCAGCAAGAAAGTGCCTGGGCCATCATTCAGCAGCACAGAAAAACATGGGGTGGGAGGGCGCAGGGGGTTGCTGGATGCAAGCTGGGCTCGGCTAGACCTGGCTTCAGCCCCCAGAGTGGGTTTGGATCTGTTCAGCATGTGTCCCCCACACACTTGCAACCAGCAGCTACCTCAGGATGCTCTGTACAATGACAAGACTCAAGAGAAAGCCTCAGCCCAAGCCCCTCACACCTTCTCTGCACATCGGCACTGCAGCCGATGCATCCTACAGACCACAGCAAGCCACACAGCTAAGACATAAGCAGGAGTGGGTGTGTGATCCTGGTACCATCACCAGGGAGGAGACACAGGGCCCAACCATTCCACACTCTACAGCTGCTGATTTGTTCCATCCTCTTCCACACAAATCGGCAGCCGTGGTGAGCTCCAAGGTTGAGGTGATGAACCTAGGCGTGGGTACCACCAAGCCACAGTCTTAAAACAATGGCACAGGACTGGGGAGATAGCTCAGCAGTCTAAGCACCTGCTGGCAAGTGCAAGGACCCAAGTCTACCCCAGGTTTGCCTTGCCAGCCACTGAAACCGGGCGAGGTGGCACACACCTATAATCCCAGAACTGGGGAGCCTGAGATAGGAGGCTATGAATCTGAGCTGCATAGCAAGACCCAAATAAATAAATAAATAAATCTGTAAAAAAAAAATGATGGCACAATGCTACATCTCCACAGTAAGTCACAAAGCCTGAGCCGCAGAGCTCTGCACACTGCAGCTCCTGCCATTCCAGACAGCAGGGTCAAGTTCAAGAGTGTGTCTTGGGAGATGACTCCAGGAGACCCTGCCTACGGTGGGAGGGGGAGTAAGAAGAGAGCGAGTCACTGCTTCAGGAAGACTGGCAACCAAGGTAGACCCAGCCAGAAAAGGGGGTCACAAGCACCTCGCAGTTGTCCCAATCAACCAATAGGAAGGGAGCTGGTGTGGAGACCTAGCTCCCAGCAGCCCCCAGGAATACTACTCTGGTTCACTGGCTTACAAACTAGAATCACCAGAGAAGTTGTTTTCTATTGTGTTTAAAATCACAGCACCTGTCAGGCTGGCTGTGGTGGCACAGGCCTGTAATCCCAGCCCTCGGGATAAGGCCAGAGGATTGCTGAGGCCAGCCTGGGTTACACAGTGAGTTCAAGCCCATCCTGAATTATACATGAAGACTCTATCTCAAAAAGTGAATAAAAAAAAAAAAATCACAGCAGGGCATGGTAGCACACACCTATAATCCCAGCTGTGGAGGCTGAGGCAGGAGGATTGCTGTGAGTTCAGAGCCCAGCTGAGCTATGAAGTGTGTTCAAGGCCATCCTGAGCTGTAATAGCGAAACCCTGTCTCCAACAGACCAAAAATAAACAAATAAATCACAACACCTGAGTCCCACCTCCAGCTCCAGCAGGGGACCA